AAAGCTTTAAGGGCATTCGAACAATAATGTCACGGTTTTGCACAATGGTATTATCTCGAAATTCATTTGCCAGTATCTTATCGCATAATTGCATCTTCCTTGCAGTCGATTATAGATTTAACTGCAAAGCATTTCACGCCTAAATTTCTGGATAGCAGTCAGATAAAAATATACGTTTCTTGAAATAATTGCACCATATTTACTTTTGGTAACCATTTCGGACAAAAATTAAATTATACATTTTATTCTTCAGTCCGAAATTAGCCATCATAGTGATCACCATAAATGTTATTGTGCATTGTACTATGTAATGTGGAGACCGGGGCTATTGGGCGACCAGTTTAGACATCATATTTGACCGATCATTTTTACATGCACGACAGACATAAAAATATCAAATTCCTAAAAATTCAAAACTGAAAAACAATAGTTTACACTTATGGGTGTGGATTGAGCATTACACCTAAATACAGGAATTTTATCATTTACATTTTCTTATTCATTATTACACCAGAACAGGTGTAAAACTGTTAAATGGCTGCGCTGTGTGTTTTTTATTTTCAAGTAAATGACTTTTTGAGCCACATCACAAAGATCGTCTGCCAAATGAACTGATGCTTATATAAAACCTTTAAAATTAATACGCAAATAGCCACCAAAATGATTCAATTTTAACTCATGTTCAGCAATTAGACACCATTAAAAATATACGTGGGGGTAAATGGCCGAATTGTTAGCACGTGCGCGCTGTATCATACGGTTTGTCATTGAATCAGCTGGCGGGGTTTCGATTCCCCGGTTGTACGTGACAAGGAGTAGGGTCGCCTGTCCCAACCTCGTGGGTTTTCTCCGGGCCCTCCGGTTTCCTCCCACTGCTAAATACCCCTACGCGCAAGCGAATTATTGAAATAAAATTGAACCATGTGTTAGTCCCGAAATGAACTAGTTTGTGTCGCGTAGAAGTTAAACCCCATTTCTCTCTCTCTCTTGAGATGTATACTTGAGATGTTAAAAAAAAAATAATTAAAATATAAAACACGATAATATTTTGAAACATTCAAATTCTTAAAATGCAAAACACGCTAAAAAAACAAGTTTGGGGCACTAGTCCGATTAACGCCAAATGTAGAGATATTTGACAAAAACACCCAAATGGAAAATAAAAACTTTCGCAACACAGCTTACGGTGTAAAATTGATACAGCTTTGTGAATGTTTACCTAATAATAATTACACCTCGTAGAGGTGTAGCTCATCCAAAACACCCTGTAACGTCTACAATTACACCTATTCGGGTCTTCCGTAGTCATGAATATCGGTAACACTTGTTGGATGTAGCACTTTTAGTTGGTAGAGGTGTAAAGTTGATATCACTTATAGTTTTTACTTCCACACATATTACAGTGTGTCAACGAAAGTGCTTGTGGGACTGGCAAAGAAACTATTGCCGGATTTCAATGTCTTGGCAAAATTACATCTTCCCCACGTGACCACAGAAGTAAAAATTATGTTAGTCTAGAACATACTTAGTAATTTGTTAATGATCTGTTAAACCCCATTTCATTATGTTTGCCAAACTTCGCAATAAAAATCGATCGGAAAATAATGCATTTAAATGCATATGGTTAAAATGTCGAATTATATTTAGTCCCACAAACTGATAGGCAATGAAAGATGAAACGAATTATTCAAATTTAGTCTGGTTGTTTTCAACTATTCGCCACCCCCTTATTTGTGATTATTTGTAGGCGTTACTGTCATTTTTTTTTCTTTGCGATATATGGTGAGAAAAAAAATCCCACTTTTTAATTTAACTGTTCCAACAGGAAGATGGGAGGTAACTCCAATATACCACCATGCCGTCCGTGTCATTCTGATTCTGTTTGATGGAATCCCTAACTTGAATTTCCACGACCCACCTTCGAGGTGTAGAATGTCATTATGCGCAGTTGAGCACGTGATTTTTTACACACAACCCCACAACTTTGTTTAACATAGAATGAACAGAGATTAATTCAATTTCAATACCAGGGCTATCTTTCATAACTATGGTGGCTGATTGGTATCATGTCGTGATGTCGCCTTTCATAACGCGACAACCCGATAACCCGACATTTCTACCCGACATCACAACATTTTTACCCGACATTACGACACTAAAAATGTCGTAATGTCGGGTAAAAATGTCGTGATGTCGGGTAAAAATGTCGTGGTGTCGGGTTGTCGTGATGTCGGGTTGTACGCCTATGGTGAGTGTGAATCTACTTCCACTTGATCAACCATTTTCTTAATTGCCAGTTTTTTGTTATGAATATCATCGTGGCCGCTTACAACATTGATCATGGAAGTCGACAACTCGACAACACCACATTTTTACCCGACATCACGACATTTTTACCCGACATCACGACATTTTTAGTGTCGTAATGTCGGGTAAAAATGTCTTGATGTCGGGTAGAAATGTCGTGATGTCGGGTAGAAATGTCGTGATGTCGCGTTATGAAAGGCGACATCACGACATGATACCAATCAGCCACCATAGTTGTAAGATAACACACTTGGAAGTTTCCTATTTCTAAAAATAACCCATTCATAACAGCATGTTGTTTATTGACCACGTAGTGCATATTTATTAGGACAACGTTAACCTCAAGGGTTATATAACCTCGTGGAGAAATATTTTGATGTTAACAAGCATTATCATCCGTCATAGTGGTATTTCTGTGAAGGAGATCAACAAAAATTTTCTTTCAAAACGTCGGATATTGTATTCACTATTAATAGACAACGGGAAATTTGGTGATATCTTCTTAGATTTATTGAAGGTAAACTTTAACAGTTTTGATGAAAATTTTCAAACGGTTTATTTATTTTTTCACAGGAGTTAAGGGTATAATATTACATTTGAACATGTTAAATTTGCTTGTGTTCCATTTCCACCAGGAACTTGGCCACACGCGCTTTTCATCATGCTGTTCTTCTTGTTCTTGGGAGCAACGCTCTTCGACGATTAAGGCTCCGGCAATTCAAGTAAGATCGACATGAAATTTGACATGCTTGTTACTAGGGAATTGTGCATGGATTGATGAAATTCGATTTATCAATTTCCCTTGATAATTTGAAACAATGGCATATACTGGTTTATATCCGGGTGATATAGTTCACAGCAAGCAAGGTAAGGCGGGTGTCATATTAATTTAGAAGCAAAACTGCACCACTCACAAACCCGGTGGCATACCTAAACTCTCGTACATGTTTTCGGAATCGCAAATTACTGAATGTAATATTGCCGTTTATCATTGACTTTATATATACTATTCAAAAAAAGTAGGGGATATTTGATTTTTAATTGTTATTAAAGTCACCTAATGAAACTGACGAAGAAACAAATGACAAAATGAAATGAAGTTCACATTCATCGATTTATTCCAAATGATCGTTAGACTAAGTAAGGCACAGACTGACCATTATAAGGGTAAAATGATACCAGGGGTCAAACAGCAAAGTTACCACAGCATCACAACCAAGTCAGTAACGGGTAAATCCTCCTCTGTTTGCCAAACAAGCATTGATCCGACGTGGCATACTCCTAATGAGACGTCTAAGGTCATTTTGGTCCAGATTGTCCCATTCCTGTTGCAACGCAGCAGCAAGTTCTTGGACATTGGCAGGACGTTGTTGACGTTGACGTAACCTCTGTCCAAGCATGTCCCAGACATGCTCGATGGGGGAGAGGTCGGGACTCAGTGCTGGCCAAGGTAATGTGGTGATGTTCTGTTGTTGGAGGTAACCTGTAACGATCCTGGCCCTGTGACATCTTGCGTTGTCATCCTGGAAGATGAAACGGCGGCCATGACGTCGTGCGAACGGCACAACATGGACTGCCAAGATGTTGGCCCGGTAGTACTGGCCTGTAACACGCCCTGCAACAACATGTAAAGCCGTTCTTCCAGCAACAGTGATGCCTCCCCACACCATAACAGAACCACCCCCAAATCGATCATGTCTGATGACGTTAATGTCTTGGAAGCGCTCGTTTCGACGACGCCACACCCTCCTACGTCTGTCCAAAAAATCAACAGTGAACCTTGACTCATCTGAAAACATCACATTGCTCCAGCGTCGATTATCCCAGTGTTGACGATCCCTACACCAACGACGTCTTGCCTGAATGTGATGATCTCTCAAACAAGGGATCACGCGAGGACGTCGGGCGCAAAGGTGACCCCTATGCAGTCGATTCCGAATCGTCTGGCCACTCACTCTCACACCAGTGTCTATTTGAAGACGAGCGCTGATCTGATTTGCTGTGATGACACGATTTCTCAAGGCCAAGGTACGGATAAATCGATCCTGGGCTTGAGTTGTCGCCCTTGGTCGACCTGAGCGTGGTCTGTCCTGTACAGATTGTGTATCACGGTATCTGGACCATAGCCTGCTTATGACAGACTGAGAAACATTCATCGTCCGCGCCACAACCGCCTGTGTTGTGCCGATCTGTAGCATGCCAAGGGCACGTAACCTTTCATTTTGGGTAAGCCGACGCATATCAAAATTTGTTTTCTGGTCACTAAAACAATTAAACTGATGTTTCCACCCTGGAATTCAATGCCACAATGACTGTAACATTCAAAGTCAGAGTCGTGCAAATCTTGGGTTGGACCCCCATGATGATCCCAAGCATCACCTGCATTCCATGCGGTAGCTATTGGTGCGTTTGGGCGTCACATGTAACTGGAAATGTTTCTTCTGTTAGGTTCTATAGTGACTTTTTTCGTAGTCATTTGCATATTTTAGTATTATGCCCCCAAAATCAAATATCCCCTACTTTTTTTGAATAGTATAAATTAGATATCGACTTTCAATTAAATCTAGACAGGATTTTATCATAAATTTTAATTGTATATATATATATATATATATATATATATCATTTCATTTTTGTATTTAATATTTATATGTATAAAAGTTGTATTTTATTCTTAATTTTACTAACTGTGATATTGTTTTTATTTATGCATATAATGTTTTTCTGTGATATAATTTAGCCTGTCTTGTAATATTCACCATATGTTTGGCGCAATATAGTCCGGTTGGAGCTGACGTGCCATTAAACAACATTTCATTTCATTTCATTTCAATTAAATCAACATAAAAAAGAAAAGAAAATGGCATTCCAGACCACCATTTTAAGAATAATCCACAAGCAGGCTGTGTCATAAATATGGGTCAACTTCACAAATACAGATAAGTTTATAAAGCTTGCCATGCTATTGTTGTGACTACTCTTCAAGGGCTCAATGATCTTCCGTTAATGACGACATATATTTAGACTTTAAGACATGTAGACATTTATTCATATAGTCAATCATATCATTCATATTGTATCATATACCATTTATCATTCATAATTATGCCATTCATATATGTCATTCACATATATCGTTCGTTCATTATATATTGTTCATTCTGAAAAGACAAAAGTTAAGGACAATAAGGACTAGAACTGATTATGACAAGTTATGACATAAATGTCCCTTTAAAGGTTAGACTATGACGAAATATGACAGTTGTATGCAATGTCCCTTTAAAGGATAAGACTATGACAAAATATGACAATGTTCCTTTAAAGGCCTAGACTAGAACGCCAATCCACTGACAAGTGGCTGCATGACATCTACATTTTTTTGTAACAAAAGCATGGATCTATGACAAATGTAAACAAATAACAATGATAATAAACTTTGGTAAATACACAGAAAAGTCATTATTTTAGAGGCATTGAATATTAATCCCTAAAAGTCATTTCTGTATTTTATAATAGTCTGAAATAACATCAAAATGTAAATAACCATTTTTAATAATGTCCTGGCAGACGGCAAACACGCGGGGCGAACACACGCTGTATGGTCACTCGTTGAAACTGACACATAATTCTAAGAACACTGAATAACACGCAATACAATTGATCTAGAATAGTACCTGGAGAGTGGATCTATCTCGCCCTTGCAATGACTAAAGCTAGTCAGTTAATTTAATACAACATTTGGACAGTTAAAGACAGACTGAAAAGTTTGTGGACAACAATGGCGACATGACAGCTAGAAGCACGGAGAAAACCGGCTGGACGCTGATTGGTTGATAATAAGAGGCTCGAAATACAAATCGGGACTCGTCGGCACTTAACTAAAAATAAAACACAAAATGAATGTAAACGAAATAAGATTTCCGATCTATTCAGAACAACCCTCGGGGGGGCACACATGACTTGTCGACTGATTCCAGTATTAAAACACATTTCTGAATAGAGCGCTTGTACTCTTGAGTTTTTAGTTTTCACAAGAACATTACGAACAATTCCATCTTTTCCTGGACAGATGAGCACATGAATTATCCAGTAATAGCACAATGTCATCCTTCTGTAATTGGCGACCTATAGACAACCACTTTGACCGTCGCATAAGCGTGGGAATATATTCACTTATGAATCGCTTCCAAAAATTTGACACTAATGACTGGACAAAAAGAAATCGCTTTAAGTTCTTTGTTTCTTCAAAAGGACCGGACGGAACATCTGTAGTTGCACGACCTAATAAATGATTTGGAGTTAGTGGCTGTGGATCATTTGGATCATCTGACAAATATCCTAGAGGACGACTATTGATGAAAACCTTGATTTCAGCAAAGACTGTTGACATCTCATTCCATGACAAGATTTGCTGACCGATGATGACTTGTAGATTCTTTTTAACTTGCTTAATAAGACTTTCATAAAAGCCTCCCTGATGTGGACTAAGAGGGGTTATGAATTTCCAAATGATTTTATGAACTACGACAAATTCTTCAATATTTTGTCTTCCTTCTTGGAATAACTTAGATAATTCTTTCTCGGCTCCTGTAAAGTTTGACCCATTATCTGAGATAATGGTTTGGGGCCATCCATGTTGTGATGCAAAACGACGAAGAGCGAACAGGAACGAAGGTGTTGACAAGTCTTGGACGATTTCTAGATGTATGGCTCTAGTTGTTGAACAAGTGAAGATTGGTCCCCAGGCTTTGATTGATTTGTTACGACCGTACTTTAGCATAAATGGACCAAATAAATCGACTCCGGTTGTTGTGAATGGTGGTGATAATGGTTTTAGTCTTTCTGGTGGAAAGTCCGCCATGAGAGTTTCACAGGGTGACTGTCTGAGCTTTCTACAGATGACACAAGATTTGACGATAGATTTGACGACTTGACGACCATGAGCTATCCAAAATTTACGACGAACTTCAGCTAAGGTTCTTTCTACACCAGCGTGTTTCACTTTCTGATGAACTTCTAAGATGATCAATTTAGTGATGTGATGATCTCTTGGCAATAAGACTTTGATCGACGAGAATTGACCAATGCTTTTAAATTATTAATGAATCTGTAGACATATGACGTTATTCTAAGTAATTTAAAATAGCTGGAATATTTGACGGGATCAATTATAGGTTGTGTTGATGAAGACTTGACTACAGGGAATAAAGGTTTCACCCTTTTTAATTCGTTGTCATCTTCTATTGTTATTGACATATTTGACTGGACAGGCCATTCTGACTCTGGACCTGACATCCATCTCTCTGTCATTCTGTCAATCGTGAGACCACGACTAAGATCATCCGCAGGATTAAGATCTGTGGGCAAATACTTGAACTGTGACAATTCCCACAATGACTGGATTTCTGTGACTCTGACACCGACAAATGGTTTCATGTTGATAGACTCTGACTGTATCCAGTTTAAGACGATGTGTGAATCTGACCAAATGTTGACCAAAACTGGCTTAGTACGTAATTCATCTATGACTGTTTTGGTAAGACGAGAACCGACTAGAACTGCCATCAATTCCAGTCTTGGAATTGTAGACTGACGTAAAGGTGATACTTTGGCCTTAGACGTTACGAGCTGGACTTCTCGACCATTAGACGTTGTCCATACTATATAAATCACGGCTCCAAATGCTTTCAAACTAGCATCACAGAACGTGTGCAATTCAGGCTGACCATAAGCGTTGACTGGTTTTAGGCATCTAGGATAAGACAAGTTGTTCAGACGAAACATTTCATCAAACAAAATTGACCATAGTTGATTGAAGTCGCTAGAGAGATGATCATCCCACTGTAACTCCGTATGTCTCCAAATCTCCTGCATAGCCATGCGCATTTTAATGGTTATTGGAGAGGCTAATCCCAAAGGATCAAATAGACTTGACATTTTTGACAGAACGATTCTCTTGGTAAATACTGAGACGTTGACTGACTTGACTGCGAACTTGAGTATATCCATGACAGGATTCCAGCCTAAGCCTAGCGTTTTAAGATCATCCTCACCATCCAGACTGACTTCGTTGACTGACTGACTAGATTTGACTGAACTAGCTGAACAATACCATTCCTTAATCTTAAACTTTCCGGTTTCTATTAAGAGTTTATCGAGATCATTCATTCGTTTGATGGCTTCATCTTGACTACTGCATGAGTGAATAAGATCATCCATATATCGGTCTCTTTGAAGAATTGCGGCTGCTTCAGGATACTCGTTTTGATGGACCATGGCAATCTTGTTCATGACGTAAGAGGCCATATCAGGTGACGACTTATCTCCAAATGTGACCCTCAAGAGACGATAGATATCTGGATCTCTGGTTGTATCCATATTTCTCCATAAGAACCAGTGAACTTGGCTGTCTTCTTCCCTTAGACGAACTTGAAGAAACATTTTTGAGATATCTCCGACTATGGCTACTGGTTCTTCTCTGAACCAAATAAGGACTCCAAAGAGATTACCAATGAGACATGGACCTTTCAATAAGAACTGGTTCAAAGACGTACCCTGGAACTGACAAGCTGGGTCGAACACAATTCCAAGAGGTGTACTGGCTTTATCCGGACGGTAGACTCCAAAGTGGGGCAAATAGTAAACAAGCTTAATCGGTTGACTGACTTCTTCTAGACTTAGTTTGACAGCCCATTCATTTGTAATATAATCTTTCATGACTTGACAATAAAGTTCTGACTTGACAGGGTCTTTCGAAAGGCTGCTTTCTAATGACAAGAGTCGTTTTTCGGCAAGTTTGTAATTGTCAGGCAGTAAATTAGCGTCTGATTTCCATGGAAGTCCTATCTGATATCTGTATCTTCGGACATTGACAATTGGCTGCACGAACTCCCATCGTTTCAAATTCATAGAACTTTTCCAAGTTTATTGACTCTTGGAACTGGCATATAGCGTTGACTGAACATTGTTTTATTATCGGAACCGATGACGTACCATCCTAGTAGAGAATGTTTGGCTAAAGGTTCGTACGGTAGTCCTTGGCGATATTCTGAATCCGCATGAAGGTGTGTATACTGTACTCCAAGGATGAGATCTACAGGGCCTTCTTCCTGACTGAAGTTTATGTCTGTTAAATAATTAAAAGACTTGAGCCATTGCTTATCAAGTGCAGGGACATCCATTATGGTGTAATCAATCTCGTGTGCTTGAATGTTGAATTCCTCAACTCCATTTAGTGCAGATATTTTAAAGTTTACCCGACGACTATACTTCTGAGAGAGTTGTCTCCCCCCAACGACAGAAATGTCAATAGATTCGATCTTCCCTTGGAGACCCAAAGCTTTGGCGAAGGCTTTTCTTATGACGGTTGTACCGGCACCACTGTCTATTAATGCATTGCCATACAAAGTTTTTCCATTAGGCGCTTTAAACCGGATTCGGACGACTGGTAACATTGCACGTTTGTCTAACACACTGCTGACTGGAGTATCTGAGTGTAAGAGTTTGTGATGGTATCGTTGACAACCATTTTCATTACATCGTTGTTTGCTTCGGCACTTAAAGATATTGTGTCCTCTAGAAAGACAAGAGAAACATAAGCGTTCTGACGTGACATGCGTGAATTTGGCTTTATTATCTAAATTTCTGAACCTTTCACACTGTGACAGATAATGTTCCTTTTGACAAAAAGAACAATTCTTGGATGACGATCTTTGACCATTTTGAGCATGACTGGGTGCTGCATTGACAGATCGCTTATAAGGTAAGTAGGCAGGCTTGTTGAAGGCATTAGTTTTCTTGACATCACCAAAATCAGGATCGAATTCGGCTCTAACTTTGGATCTGAGAAATGTGTCTATGTGCGTGACTGACGGAGTTTCACCTGATGTTCTGATATTAAAGCAACTTTAGTCTTCCACTGATCAATCATGTAGTTTGGCATTCGTTCAACAATTTTCCTGAGATTGTCACTGGCATTGATATCAGAAAAATAATTCAGCTGAGTTAGACTGGCGATAGCATTGATTACATCAATTGAAAGTTCTTTCAGGGCATTTTTCTCAGCTATCTTTGGACCATTGGTGAGCTTGGTTACGTATGCTCCGGCTATTCGACTAGGTGAACCATATTCAGCTTTCAAAGTCTTTAAAGCAGTCGCGTACATACTTCCGGACGATCCCAAACCTGACCAAGTTTTGTTGACTCCCGCTGAGAGATGACTCTTAAGTTGTCCCATCCTGACTTCATCTGTAAGATGTGGCTTATCATGTATGTGTGCTCTGAACCGTTGTATGAACTCTACATACTCAAGAGGATTACCATCAAAGATATTGATTTTGAGAATGGAATATCGCGATTCGATTCCAATCTAAGAAGAGCATCGGCAATTGAGATTTCTTCTTTTCTTTGACTATGGACAGTTTCTTCAAACTCTTTCAACTCATCTATCCAACTATCAAATGATTTTTTCACCCTAGGTTTCGACTGATAAGACAACGTTGGTGTATTCTGTTGACTAGACTCTAATGTTGACGTGTGTTCATCTGGCTGCAAGTTCAATATTGACATATGTTTGGCTGGCTGTATCGTGTTGGTGCGCTGAACTGACTGTGAGACGGACTGCAATGTATGCGCAGGTTGCTCTGGCTTTGACGTTTGCTCTGACTTTGACTTGGGTGTGGACGTTACACTCTGAACTGACTGATCACTTCTGGACAAAGTTTTTATGTGTTCTGAGAGCAGATCTTCAATAGCATAAAAGTCATTCGTGAGGTCTTCCTCCCACTGTTCTAATCTTCCTTTCTCGGATTCATCACAATATTCTATAATTTCACCATTAGCAACGGAACATTTTTCATACTCTTTCCTGATTTCTTTGAGCTCTCTCTTTAATTTTCTGGCGTCTCCTTCACCTTTTCTGATGTAGGTTTGAATCCGTGTGATTGAACGCGTAAACTTTCCACGTAACTGTTTTCTGTGTTGACGAGCAGCATTGAGCTTTGACGAGCTTTCTTCCTGTGAATCAGAGTCTGAGTTTGGAAATGGAGTGTCATTTGGCAATGGAGTATCCATTCCTGTAGTATTGACGTTATTAATGACTGGCTCTGTCATATTAACCACTACGCAGGTAACACAAAGAGTTTGAACTTCGCCGAGACGTCGACTGTATTCTCCAGAAGCTGTTGTGACTACTCGCGTTGTGTAGCTATTCAAGGGCTCAATGATCTTCCGTTAATGACGACATATATTTAGACTTTAAGACATGTAGACGTTTATTCATATAGTCAATCATATCATTCATATTGTATCATATACCATTTATCATTCATAATTATGCCATTCATATATGTCATTCACATATATCGTTCGTTCATTATATATCGTTCATTCTGAAAAGACAAAAGTTAAGGACAATAAGGACTAGAACTGATTATGACAAGTTTTGACATAAATGTCCCTTTAAAGGTTAGACTATGACGAAATATGACAGTTGTATGCAATGTCCCTTTAAAGGATAAGACTATGACAAAATATGACAATGTTCCTTTAAAGGTCTAGACTAGAACGCCAATCCACTGACAAGTGGCTGCATGACATCTAACAAAAGCATGGATCTATGACAAATGTAAACAAATAACAATGATAATAAACTTTGGTAAATACACAGAAAAGTCATTATTTTAGAGGCATTGAATATTAATCCCTAAAAGTCATTTCTGTATTTTATAATAGTCTGAAATAACATCAAAATGTAAATAACCATTTTTAATAATGTCCTGGCAGACGGCAAACACGCGGGGCGAACACACGCTGTATGGTCACTCGTTGAAACTGACACATAATTCTAAGAACACTGAATAACACGCAATACAATTGATCTAGAATAGTACCTGGAGAGTGGATCTATCTCGCCCTTGCAATGACTAAAGCTAGTCAGTTAATTTAATACAACATTTTGACAGTTAAAGACAGACTGAAAAGTTTGTGGACAACAATGGCGACATGACAGCTAGAAGCACGGAGAAAACCGGCTGGACGCTGGTTGATAATAAGAGGCTCGAAATACAAATCGGGACTCGTCGGCACTTAACTTATAACAAGACACAAAATGAATGTGAACGAAATAAGATTTCCGATCTATTCAGAACAGCTATTGCAAAATATCGTCAGTGCAGACGTGTCAACCCCCAGGTATGAAAAAACAGGAGACCAGATATGAAAAAACTGGAGAATCCAGGAGATTTTTTTTTTCATCCAATAACTTCATTTTTATTAATCATAGGCTAAATACTTTAGTACTTTTTACACTGTGCACTCGTTTTTGCTGCATACAACAATGAACAAATGAAAATTCCTTTTGGGTTTCGGGTCAATAATTTAAATGACAGAAAAAAAATATTTTTGAAATACTTTGTGAAAATATAGATAAAATGTTACCCTGCTCAATAATCAGGGGACAAGGGTTCGATCCAGGGAAGTTCCACGGGATTTTCGTGGCTGGTCTGGTTTACAGTTGTCAGTAGTGTAGGCAGAAGTTCCTGGGGAACGACTTCTCGTCTTTCGGACTGGACGAAAACAAACAAGGTCGCATGTACACGTTAGGGTGCTCGTAAAACAAACTGTTGACAGGTAGAATTCAATGACGAGGCCTAAACGCCGTTATGCTCGCAAAATGTCGTTCCGAACACTTCATGTCCATTGCGCATACCTTCTTCATTAGCTTGGTTATAGCAGAAAAGTATAACAGTAATCCTAAATCGGTAATCGACACACGTATACCTTTTTTTGTTTAATGGTCAATTAATTAGATTGCATGTGAAATCTGTCAATCCTTTGTCTGAGATGGGACACAGACAATTTTAATATAGTCATTGTAGTAAATAGTACTGGACACTCATGCAATAAGTTGGCCAACGATTGAATTCTAAGTTTAGGATTTTCTTATATATATGACATTACATATGTAACAGGATGGGGTGTTGTCGATTTGCACTCGAGCGGTGGGTGCATGACTCATTGAAGATCCAGTATTGTGCGTACTGCACTTGAAGTTTAATGTAATATAGAGCCGATAATATAAGCCATTTCTATATATAGGCAAAAATAAGGTTAAGTCAAAGTTTATCTCATCGCTTATCACCTAAGAAACCCCCACACATGTATATTAACTAACTGCATTTAATTTCGTACTCAAAGTGATATTATTTATTTAATTTAATCTATTTGTTCTAGTTTTGTTAAGCCAGATAGTGATGATAAGAGATGTTTATTGGGTATAAACATACATGTTGAACAACTTCATCTGATTTACTAATTTACTGGTGAAGAATCCTAGTTACAGTGCTTCTCGTCAATATGTCTCATTCCAATAGCTGTGAAACTAATTCCTCGACCAGAATGGCCAATGGGCGAACAAATGGTCAGCCCTGTCCAGAGGGGGCTATGTGTTCAAATAACGAGTCCGAGATACTCTATAAAGAAATTGATTCCTTGACAATTTCACAGACCGGAGCATGTTGTAATACCGAAGCGTCCGAAATCTTGGTAGAAGCGGACGAAGAATCAGATGAGCCAGATTCCTCTGCTGAACCTAAAGCTAGAAGGAAATACTGTTTATTTGAACTAACGACCCTTAATACAAACAAACACATCATAAGTAAGATAAAGTGTGAAAACTTCAGAAAATAGTGAGTATATCTATCACATTATAGAATATTGTACATGCAGAGATTATTTAGTACATGATACATCCTTAAATAAACCCCCAGCGTACGCAAATGCTATAATGTAACTTATTTATAGAGATCGGGACCATGAATATAAAAAAAAAAGCATTTTGCTCACAATATTATTTAAATCGATTTCGTACGACCATCTTTATCTCTCTAAGACAAATATAGTACCGGTAATAATAACTGTGCTATCGTTTTCGTAAAAGCTAATCAATGCGTCATGAATGTTGTTTTTCCTTTTATTACATAATACATTTTTTTTTTTACTTCTTAAATATATTATGTGAATGACATTTCCTGTATGTTTGCACAGAGTTAAGTTACATCTATGGATGCCCAATTGCTTCTCGACCAAATTACCACCCCGTTTGCATAAGTTGGATTGTATTTATTGTTTGGTTATGTGGTTCGGATCCCACAGTTGGCCGAGACGACCCCTCTAGGTTCTTGATTCCCACTTAGCCGTCCGGGTTATCAAAAGTCCTGCACAGAGAGAGAGAGATGGGGTTTAACGTCCACTCGACACAAACTAGGTCATTTCGGGATTATCATATGGTTTAATTTTATCTCAATAATTCGCTTGCGCGTAGGGGTCTTTAGCAGTGGGAGGAAACCGGAGGACTCGGAGAAAACCCACGGGGGCTGGACAGGCGAGATGGGGTTTAACGTCCACTCGACACAAACTAGGTCATTTCGGGATTATCATATGGTTTAATTTTATCTCAATAATTCGCTTGCGCGTAGGGGTCTTTAGCAGTGGGAGGAAACCGGAGGACTCAGAGAAAACCCACGGGGGCTGGACAGGCGACCCTACTTCTTGTCACGTACAACCGAGAAATCGAAACCACGCCAGTTGACTCAATGACAGACTATGATACAGCGCACACACGCTAACCATTCAGCCATTCACCCCCCGTCCTGCATAGAAAAAAGGTCAGACTGGAAAAATGGTAAATCTCCCCTTTTAAACACAAACATACAAAGTAACACAGAAACAGTATTGAAGGTCAAGATTCGTATATCCACCAATTTGTCATAATATGTGATAGGCTTGTTTAAACACATTTCAAAAATATTTTTAATAGACGGCAAAAGTTGCTCAAACAACTTTCAGCATTATTAAATTACCCCAAATTTACATGTTCATTATCAAATGACACACATTTGAAATGTATTATATAATTAGTTACACATCCCAATTGTTGTAAATGTTACCGCTGAAACTTACAAAATGAAATGAAATGAGATGTAATGTCCTACTTTTCTGCTGCGACCGGGCTAATTGAGACGGGCATACGCTATACAGTGTGCTATTGGGGGACATTTTTCCCGGACAGCGGCGCTAAGGCCTACTCTTATATCGAATTCTAACTGTTTCATCCCATCCGAACGACTAGACGGATGTCCTTGTAGTGGCCATCCGTCCTGCATCACTGACAAGAGGAAACCACGCCGGCAAATCCAGATAAACTATCTCGGTCAACACCGGAAGCGAACCCGCGATCTCCAGGCTAGCGAGCCAGCGCCTTACTCACTTAGCCACCGTGACTCCCGTGAAACTTACAGACCCATCAAATTGTTGTTATGGATAAACCATGACAAAGATTTATCTGTTTAACCATATGAACACCAACCTTTTCCTTTACCATGATAGCAATCAGATCTAAAATAAACAAAACAAAAACAAAGAAAAGGTCTTCCTATCCTTAAAGATCTTTGTCTTGGTAGACTGTGGACTTTAATCATGGTATTTTAGTTTTAGAAAAGATGATGAAGTAATATCTGTAAACAGTACAATCAGCTTCTCACACACTGAACTAGTGAAGCACTTTAACAGAGAGATTGAAGATTTTTATAAAGAACAATCAACATTGGTTTGTACAACTTTTAATCACATTATCTGTTTTCCATACTGATTTATTCAATTTTGAATTCCTATCACGATCATTAAAAACGTTTTAGATTTGATTATGTGCAGTTCAAAGGACGATCAGCACAATAATTCATACTAATTATTTGACGAAGATCCATATTCATTGCACATATCTCAATGTTTTCTTCCCGCATAAGATTGGCCAAACTGGAGCTTATATGTGTATACATTTTACTGATATAATCATCATGGTTCTTAGCTTTGATTGTCGGTAGAAACTTGATAGTAGAGAGATTTGGTCATATATTCGCTTTAGTTGATTGGACTTCATGGATTGACGGCTTTTCAGAAGAATGTATAGTTTGGCATTAATTCCAATCTGTTGGGAAGAAGGTTATGTGGAGGCTAGCTGGTGACATACATACACTGTTTTGTCATTATTCCTTCATAACACAAGCTACGCACTATACAGATAACAGGTTTATAGCTTAAAGTATTGCAATGCTTTATATGTTGTAAAATTTAACAAAAAATATAGGATACCATATAGAGGATTGCAATAATCACATAAGTAATTTTAGTCTTTATCTTCAGGTTATAGAAGTAAAGAGAGTGGAGAGCGGAATCACCGAGTTCATAACTTTCACCAGTCAAGCCACACAGTATGAAGAAGATTGCCCAAAATGGTCAAAAATACTTAGTATGTAATTGTAATTTTATATATTCCGTGAGATTTACAAATACTTTGTATACGCCTACACGTATAGTTGTCGCCCCTGTCCGTCAGTCAACATTTGGCTTGTGAACGAGATAGCGGCTTTTCAAATTTGTTGTGAGTTACTGTGGTCATGAGAGGACGGAACCTATCGATATTGAGCATTCTGCGACCTTTCATATCAGTGCTTTGCCCCCTTTTTTCGAAAACCTTGTACACGCTATATTCGGCATTCCACTACTTTCCGTTCCGGTGTAATTCTCCCACTACAAAGACCCCAGTGAATGCGATAGAGACCACCGTTTTTCATTGATGAGGATGAGGCCTGTTGATATTCCACCAAGGAGTTATCTTCCCTTTCTGAAAACCTTGTAAACATGATATAGGCTATAACTTTTAACCAATTGTTTTCAAATTCGGTGTGGTGCATTGTGGTCGTGTGATGACCACCCCTTGTAAACGCGATAGAGGTTATAGTTCTTAACCGAATGTTTTGAAATTTGGTTTGAAGAATTGAAGAATTGGGGTTATGGATGCATGAAACATATCGATACTCAACACACCGTTTCGCGAACGCGAAATGGGTTACATTATTTAACATGTTTTTTCAAATTTAGGATGAAACGAAATGAATTGGGTTTTGCTCCGAACTGGGCTAATGAAGACGGGCGTACGCCATACAGTGTGCTATGAGGGAAATTTTGCCCGGACAGCGGCTCTACGGCCTACTCTTATATCGAATTCCAATTGTCAAGGCATGTGTACACGGGACCTCGGTTTTTTGTCCCATCCGAACGACTAGACAGCTGTCCTTGTCAGGCCCTCCGTCCTGCATCACTGAATCCACATCTTACCCACTTAGCCACCGTGATCCCCAAATTTAAGATGAAGCTGTGTAGCCACCAATAGCACGATATGACCCTTATCAATATGCAGCATTCCGCGACTTTCCATTCCGGACTCATCCCCGTTCCAAACCCTTGCTGTAAAGATCAGCTATTGATAAAACATGCTACAAATAACTTATATTTTGGAACTAATGAGATTAACGCCGAATATAGAGATATTTAACAAAAAACACCAAATTGGTGTAGACACGCACACGTCTGCAACCCATCGCTTACGGTGTGAAATTGATACAGCTTGACATCAAAACATCCCTTGACATCTAAATAACATTGACGCAGCGTTACATGTTATAAAGACTAGCTACGGTATAAATTTTATGTCACTTATTGTTTATCATTGCACCCGTGTAACCTTGGTAAAAGTTTTGTAATGTGCAAAATGTGCGACGTTAATGGGAATTCTTGACCGATGTTTTGCAATTATTGACGAAGTTATCGCCCTTCGTTAAAATATCCATACAGAAACTTTGAGAAACTTGATACTGCTATATTGAGTAATGAAGGTGATTTTTTAAAGGTTTTGTCAATGTTGGAACGGTAGGCATCTTTTAAAACAAATAAGATATAATTGTTTGTACAATCTATATTACTACTATTACAGACATTTTGAAGTTTTTTATCACGGAACGTTCATTTGAATATAATAAAAAAATACCAGCCAGAATTATACGACTTTGTTGCTATAGTCATCTAAAGTATTTGAAATACGATGGAAAGGCGATTAGCATGGATGAAATTGACGGCGAAAAGAACCGTTTTTGTAAGTCGTAGTTTGCTCATTTTCAGAAATATCCCTGCATGTATTTATGACACATTTATGACACATTTTCATTGGTGCAACAATGAGGGTCTGACAAGGACAGCGTCTAGTCGTTCGGATGAGACAAAAAAGCGAGGTCCCGTGCACGCCTTAAAAGTATGCCATAACGCTGCTGTTCGGGCAAATAAAGTTCCCACATAGCACACGGTATGGCGCATGTCCGTCTCGGCCATTGTCTTCAATAGCGAAGTCGATGCAGAAAAGTTAGAACGTTAAACCCCATTTAATTTCATTTGTTGAGATATGCACGGGCTCTTACAAACCACATATCTTCCGTAATATTCAGTCAATTGAACTGATTTTGTGAATGGGTTACATGTCTGTTCTATCTATCACCAATTTATTATTAATTTCGCTGCATTGTCAGTTCTTGTCAGTGATTATGCTAGTAAGAGATATGATCCGGAATATAACTCAAGTCAGTTTTGTTTTCATGGAAACACAAAGTTATTCAACTGAAGGCACTATAAGCTCAATGTCACTTTAATTGGACACTAATTTTAATTTTTGATTGTCGCCATTTTCAGTCAAGTTCTTATATACAGAATACCAGGTGGGCCCTGTAGATGAAAAATATCAATATATGGGCTGTATCCAGGATGTATCACATAAAACCTTTCTACGCCAATGTAGGGGTAATAAAAGTATTCAATTTGAATCGGTAAGTCTACTGTTGAAATATGCACACGTCCTGTTAAAATGCATTTAAAGAATCATTATGTAAGGGCTAAATCTGCCTAACACAGTTTTTTTCTGGCTTCTAATGTTCTATAAATTATTATTTAGATAGTTGTTCACATGGCAATCCCGTAATCATCTCTCTAGAACATGGGATGACGGATATATTAATTGGATTGGATAATGTTAAAATGGAAAACCGAGACTTAATGATCGCAGCAACGGTATTTTACAATCGACACTATTTACGCTGTTTCTAGTTAAAACTTCAAATATTCATAACTTCGCTCAAAATGAAGTAATATTCATTTTGCATTATCTATTGTTGAATTATTATAGCAAAAACGATCAGCTCTCTATCTCAATTATGCATAACGCATCTTTAAGAATCGTTTAAATATAGTTTATATTCCAACATTCAAAATACGCAATATTGTCGTTACCTGTGTGCTTCCGGCCATCCATTTACAGGCGTGGGTATATTGTTAAGACGGAGTAGTTTTAATCACAGGGGCTAGCATGGGGTAACCCTGGTGTAACACAGTCTAGACCCATAACCCTCTGTATTTGAAATCGGTCTGAGTTAAGGACAGCAGTGTCTCATAACGTGATATAAAACACTACTGGGATTTCTTGTAGCTCACAGCGAATCGTCACTCACACCAGTATTATATATACAACGTTTGGGAAATATCCCCCCACCCTTTTCTTGAGTTACTTCCCTTATTGTTAATTAGGTTTTTTTTTATAATCCTTGAGTGGCATTTAGCGATTGAACACATTAAAACACAACACAGTTTATATGGAAATACAATCACTGGTTTATAAGTATAGTACGACGTTTTGACAAGTATTCTCTTATCGTTATCAAGCACAAATGATATTTAGTTAAACTAAAAGGTGATATTTATAGTAAAACAAAAAAGAAGCCATTGGGTTTTTTTATTTTGAGTGAAGCTTGTATCACTACAGGCCAGGTCTTCATAATGCAGTGGACGCTTACGGCTACCCCACGGATTCATTGGCTTGATCTGATAGGCATGTTTGTTCTTTGAGGCGTGGGTGTATATTGCGCCCTGTCCGTAGGTTTTTCTTGTGTAACTGTTTGTGTGTAGTGACGCCCTCGTCCCTGCACTTGCTATTATACGTGAACTAAATAAAATTACCATCTTATAAAACCTAAGTCTTATACTAATATGGAGCCGAAGCGTTGTCATATTAAGACAGCATATCGTGGTTAAAAATGCAAAATTGTCATAGTCAAGCTACGTTCCCAGAAAAGTATTTATCGGGTGGTTATTTCCAATAAAAGTATGGCAATTTTGGTATATATGGAAAGTAGAAATATCCAATCTTACTAGAAAAATAATAGATTCCCTGAAAAACACTCATGGAGCACATACAGGACAAAAATGTACGGGTTTCCCTAATCGACAGCCCGACGATTAGGAGTGTCTGCACGCGTGACGTCGAAGGTTGCACGTGGAGATTGAGCGCTTGGTTTACATGTTGATAAACTTAATGAAGAGTTAGACGTACAACACTTGTAAAAATCACGGAAAAAGACGCGGACATTGGATAATCCGAGAATTTAATTAGGCTTCGATATTTGTAATAAATAATCAGCGATAAAGGCAACATTGTCTTGTGTATGCAATGAATTCTCCTCCGAGCTCGCACCCATTGTGTCACGTGACACAAACATGACCTCTTTTGATCGATTTTTTATAGCAGGCTATTCCCTGACAATTGCAATGTTTTGAGAAGGATTTGAAGCAAAATTATGATAAATTAATTAGTTTGAATATGTTTTTAGTCCAAATATATCATCAAATCACCCAGTTTGTACCCGGGAATGTATCTTTAAGCGGGATTTTTTTAGAACTGCTTATGGGCGTATAAGGAGTTTGATAAATTCTCTTCCATATTTTTTTTAAAGATGCAGCCAATTGAGGATGCAGCAGAAAGAGTCAAAGTTGATGAACGGTTCTTTTTTCGCACCGAGTCCAAAGAAGCTAATGATATCAACTATTTCCAGTCAGTAAAGAGAAAAAGTAAGTTAACATAAAATTTTGAAATGAAGCGTACGCAAGAGTTCATTTTCCCAGCTAAAGGTTTTGTGCAAACTATCTTACTTAAATATACATTATGGGAGATTCGATAACGAGTTGGCAGTTCTCACTATAATAATTAAAAACTAGATAACGTAGAGGCAATTTGCTGAAAATTTCATTCAAATTGATCCACTATGAACCGAGAACTAAGCAAACGAAATTTCTGCCTAGCCTCGGTCATCATTACTAAAGTCAGTACGTTAAACAGCATAGTCTCGATTATCCATTTAATCGTTTAATCGAGAAGGAAAGTAATGCAGTAAATCGGATCACAATCCACTTAAGATCGCAGGCTAGCGATGCCATCTAGAGTTGATTATGGTCTGGATAGGTTAATTAATGTCTAATTAATAATTTAGCTAACATTTTAGGCCTAAAGAAAGACCTGCAATAGACAGATTTAGCTCTTGAATAATGTATGTTTAATAATTCACGGCATTGATGTTCAGAATGATACAGATTTTCTTGCAAAGAAATGTTGTTCACTAGAAGGGATTTTCCCCGAATTATGTCGTGAATTCCGCTCCATTGGCAGGTAACAGCGTACTCTGAGTTTAAAACAAAACGTCTGTCAGCCAATAACCAACACCGTAATGTCGTAATAAACATAAATTTATAACCGTACAACATGTTTTTAATATAATTGTAGATCATTACCTTGCCTACAATGCGGTGGATGGCCTGTACTTGAAGAACTGGACAGCACAAAACAGATCTGGAGAATTTGAATTTGCATTGATTTATATAGATTCTTAATACGTTTAAGTACCGTATATAGAACATTAACGAGATCTGTAATTTTATATGTACAGGTCATACATAATTACTGCTGCTACAAAGCAGTAATAGCCATGCTTAATTGATAGACGATAAACTCAATTACATAATACAGGTATGCCATACCGAACAAATATCTAGTAACTTTGACTACAAAGCGTATATTGATTTGTTCATACGATATGTTATGTGTATATAAAATAAGACCCTTAAAATCAGAGAAAAGGTGTGGGAAGCAGACTGGCTGTGATATCGACGTGAAGACATCTACCTATGAAGTTGGCCTTTTAGCCCAGTCTAGTAGTCTACACCGTACGAGTATTGTATGGCTGTGTACCGTATAATAATTTGTATATATGTTCCTGACAACAAACCTATTATACTCGAAGTGTATTATATTTAAATGTGTATAGAAGTACCATATATATTAAGAACTTACTATGTTACACTGCTTTGTACCTGTAGCTTTAACCACGGAAAAATGAAATCTATTCAACAAGCACCACTGATATGCTCCTGTCAAGGAACCTCTTCTAAAAATAGGCTGTCATACATATTTATGATCATTATGTGTCCAGAGCCGATGTATAAAACATTCTGTTACAATAAGATCAATATTGAATATAACACACACGTAGCGGGGAGAGAGAGAGAGGGGGAAAGGGGAGAGGGGGGGGGTAACGTCAACTCGAAACAAACTAGGTCATTTTGGGACTAACATATGGTTTCATTTTATTTTAATAATTTGCTTTCGCGTAGGGTCTTTAGCAATGGGGGGAAACCGGTGGAGCCGGAGAAAACCCACGCGGTTGAACAGGCGACCCTACTCCTTGGCACGTACAACTGGGCAATCGAAACAACGGCAGTTCACTCAATGACAGACCTTATGATACAGTGTGCTACTGTGCACGTGCTAACCATTCGGCCATCCAACCCCCACACGTACCGGAGCTGTTAGTAATAACTTCAGATATAGAAATGGAATGAAATGCGGTTTAACGTTCTACTGTTTTGCACCGACAAGGCTAATGAAAGCGAGCATACGCCATACAATGTACAATGAAGGAAATTTTGTGTACCTCGTTTTTTCGTCCCACCAGAACGACTCGACGCTGTCCTTGCAAGGTCCTGAAAAGGGGAGCCGCGCCGGGAAATCTTCGAAGAACTTTATTGGCTAACACCTATTGCGAACCCGAGAACTGCTGGTTAGTAAGCCAACTTCTTAATCACTGAGTTTAAACATTCACTAAAGTACGGTCAAGTTTTGTTACCGTACCGTAGTTGTTAGAGATCAAATCGGGATGTTTGGAACTTACGAATTATTTATATTATCAATGAAAACATTATTGTATAGATTGTAGATATATTTATTATCAAAACATGTATTAATTACCATAAATCATAGATGTATAGTACTGGTTATCATACAATTGGACGGCTAACTGTCATTTTAGATGCTTTAGATAGTTTACATCTATCTAGGCCTTTCTTCGGTCTCGTTCTGTTACGTTAAACCGGAAGTGCACTAACATGGTGTAATTTAGCTTATTTTCACCATAAGTATTGTAGCCTGAGTAGGGTTTCTATAATCATAAGTTTCCGTTATTTTCTGGCCCTATATCTAACTCTGCCCATGATTCGAGATCGACCCCCTTTATCACCATTTTCTTGTTATTTGGTTTATAATATTTATGTTATGTGGATTTCGTTATCTAATTTGTCCATATTTGTTTAATGTGTTTGGTGTGCCGTCCCTTTAATCCTTTGTCTTTATATATATATATATATGGGCATTCATAGTAGTGAAAGATAGATATTGGCAGGCATCGACAGAATATCTTTGACTCATGTTTTTGTGTTTTATTATTACAAATTAGTATTCTGAACGCGTGCCTATCATTATTTTTGATGTGCCTATGACTTGCCGAATTTTATTCATATTTTAATGCTTTCCTTTCATATTCCATGTAAATCTAGGGGACATAACTCTATTTTTATTAATTATTGTTCAAATACAGTTTTCCTTAAATATTAATTATCTCCTTTAATATGTTTGTAGATTTTTAGTGTCAAAATGTAGGAAATATATATTAACAATTTTGTATTAGGTTTCCGTAGTTGAGGCGAGGGTTCTTTTATGATTTTAGAATGTTTCCCAAGTCTGAGCTTACCAGTCCTTTGTCGTTTAAAGACAGTCAATATAGTTTGCCTGTGCGTGAAGCGAATTGATCTGATTATTATGTCAATCCCTGTTATTGCAACAGTAAAAATTAGGAATTTTAGTAGGAGATTTTTACTTACTTGATATGATCTGAATTATATCAATCCCTGTTAATGCAACAGTAAGAATTAAGAACTTTAGTGAGAGTGTTAATAGATTTTTACTTTACTGAGAATTATAAAGGAGCTTAATTCTTGTACGGTAAATTTTATTTTATTTATAAGTTTAGTTTTTGAATATTGTTAGCGATGCCCACAAAGCGTCCCGAACCTGTCATATCTGATTACCCGGTGCTGTTCAGCCATCCCAACAACCGAATTACATTATTTTCATGTTTGATGTATAAATAAAGCTGTTTTGGAGATATTTTAGTATATTTTTATTTGGAAGCTATCCTGTCTAGTGAGCGGGTAACACTAAGATAGAGAGAGATAGTTTTCTAAATTGATGGCTGGAGTGGGATTGCTGAAAAAAAGCATCCTTAATACAGATTTATTTCAGATTCGTTGCTGAACGGAGTTTATTTTAATGCGGAAAGAATGAGTAGCAGTTTGAGTACTGAGGAGCTGATTAGAGCAGTTGAAGAATTTCAGCGTTCTTTTAATGCAGATATTAGTAGACTTGAACAGGTGATTGCCGAGAGAAGGGATGCAGCGAAAAATACCGCGTCTGCAAATCCTTCAAGCAGTAGTAATTATGTTCCTGATACATTTTCTGGCGAGAACACACCATCACTTTTCTCCAGTAGGGATGTGGTAGGTGATAGTACAAATCGGAGGCTGTATATGCAGTCAGCTGATCCTGTTGTTACGGAGTCGCAGATCACATCTACACCATTGTTACCTGCAGCGTATGGAATGTCTAGGAGACAGTCAAACTCGCTGATTACTAGTAGTCATGCTCAAGAAAATATATTTGATTCACAAGTGAGATTGAGTAACCCGGTGGAGAGGGGAGCTAGATGTTATAATGATCTTCCTAGTGCAAACATTTCGAATGGATATTACGGGGTTCCTGGCATTCAACAAACACCTGCTCATTACTCTACTACAACAACTAGTAGACCTTTAGATAATAGTGTTCATAGTGTGTCTATGCATAAAAACACGCTATTTGATCCATACCCCAGGAGAAACAAGCCTGTGGCTATGCCTCCTAAGTTCAATGGAGAAGGTAGACTACAGGATTATCTTATTCAGTTTGAAGTAACTTCTGATATTAATAATTGGAGTGATTCAGAGAAGGCTAAGTATCTGGCAATAAGTTTGACAGGTAAAGCCAGTGATATTTTCAGTTTTATGAGACCTGCTGTTATAAAGGATTTTAACCGTCTTGTTGCAGCATTAAATCAGAAATTTGAGCCTCCCGAACTTGCAGAATGGAATAAAGTCCAACTGCGAGAAAGGAGGAGGAAGCCTAGTGAATCCTTATCTGATTTTGCTCATGGTATTAGACGATTGGTTAATCAAGCGTATCCAGCAGGCAGTGATGCATTGAAGGAAGAGTTAGCTAAGGATCACTTTGTCCAGTATTTCGGAGACACCAACATGAGGATGTTAATTTGCCAGTCGAGACCGAGAGATCTAAACACTGCTGTCCATTATGCGATGGAACTGGAAGCCATTAAGCGTTCCGAAGGCAAGCATAGATCTGCTAACGTCACATCTGTCAATTCAACAAAGAAGGAAGAATCCGATGATTCCACCAAAGCATTGGTAATGAAGTTAGAAAAATAGATTGTAGATTTAAAGAACAGATTACGGGAGGGTGAGAAAAGGTGGTCTGAGGATAAGAATAATTTTGAGAAGGAGAGAGAACGATTGCTGAGTAGAAAACCAGATTTTTCTCATGTTACATGTTTCAATTGTCTTGAATTAGGACATTACGCATCGTCATGTCCATCGAGGCGCAGTCCAAGGCCTGTCATGCCTGAAGGACCAAAAAGGTCTCAACAATCATCTCCGACCCAGTCTATGCCAGTTGAACGAAACACACGGCATATTAGTATAGCTGATTCTAGAGCTTCTGGGTTGTATTTGCCTGGTTTATGTGAAGGTAAAGAAATTGAATTTTTGGTTGATACCGCTGCTAGTTTATCAATGATATCCACTGAACATTATGAGTCTTTAGAGAATAAGCCGGAGTTACATCCAGTTAACTGCAGGGTGACCCAAGCTGACGGCTCACCTCTATCTGTTAAAGGTAGGGCAACTATGAATTTAGATATCGATGGGGTTAGGCTACAGTTTCCTTTTGCAGTAGTTGAAATGCCTACTTCAGCTATTCTTGGTTTGGACTTTGCTAAATCCCAAGATATCATAATTAATGTGTCTAAAGCTGAGATTTATATGAATGGAAGCTCTTTTAGATGTGATTTTAAGGGAGGTTTGGGAGTTTGTCGAATTAATGTGAATGAAGATATTGCTTTATTACCTAATTGTGAGCAGATAATTAATGCTAAGACCGATGGGATAGTGAGCTTTGGTGATCGCCTAGTTGAACCAATTAAGAATCCGCCTAGCAATTATCCAATGGTTGGACGCAGCATTGTTAAACCTGACGCACAGAGATCTGTTCCAGTTAGACTTTTTAATCCTTCCCCAGAGATAATCAGTCTGAGCAAGGGTACCACGGTTGCTTTATTACAGGAGGTTTCAGAGATTTCTCCTGAGGAGAAGATGAGTACTAAAGCGGATTCCGATATTATTGATTCTCTTGTTGAAGGGTTGTTGTCATCATGTAAAGATTCCTTGACGGAAAGTCAAATCAGAGACGCAGAAACACTTTTAACCAGGAATATCTCTGCATTTGCCAGAGATGAAGATGATGTCGGAAGAACTCATTTGGCGGAGCACATTATTAACACTGGTGATGCTCAACCGGTACGGTTGCCTCCCCGGAGATTGCCTTTTGCTGCCAGAGATGACGTTAGGAAGCATCTCATAGAGATGACCAGGAGGGACATTATTGTGCCTGCGACGGGGCCTTGGTCTTCTCCAATCGTTCTTGTGAAAAAGAAGAGTGGTGAAAGTCGCTTCTGTGTGGATTACCGGAAGTTAAATATGGTAACTATCCGGGATGCATCGAGTGTCTGTCTGGAAATTTGTGGTTCTCATGCCTTGACCTTATGTCTGGATTCTTCCAGGTAGAAGTAGCTGAGAAGGATCGTCCGAAGACTGCTTTCGCTACTCCATTCGGAATTTTCCAGTTCAAGGTC